AGAGAGAGAGAGAGAGAGAGAGAGAGAGAGAGAGAGAGAGAGAGAGAGAGAGAGAGAGATTTGCGACATTGGGATTTGGTGACATTGGGGTCAAGACATGTTGTGGGACTATTTTTGGATCAGTATCGGCGACATCTTGAGTTGGCGACATTCTCCATATCTCCCCGACCTTCGTCTCTCCTCCCTCCTCATCTGTGTTTGAGTTCCTACCTGGCGCCCTTCGTCTCTGTGTTTGGCGCCAGGTCCCTCACACTGTATGATGACGATGATGATGTTGGTGTTCAGTCTGTGTCACAACATTGACTGGGTCTGATTGTTGGTATTTCAGTCTTCTGCTGTGCTATCATTGCTTCATTTTCAAGAGGTCGGTTCTTGGTTTTGGTCTGCGCCACTCTGGCATGCGACATTGGGAGACTACATGTGTGGCGAGTATGATTTCATGAACGATTTTGGAGACATTGATGCCGCGCTGTGACAGACTTGTATTTCGCCATTTGCGAGCTTTGAGCTTCTCATCTGACTGGGTTCATTTCACAATGATTCAATGAATATTCCACCGTGTAAAATGCAGTAAAACACATAAAACCAGGAGCACACAGCAGGATGAAAATCCCCCACGCAAAAGTACACCGACAGAGAACAGCGGCAAAAACTTGGAGGACGCACTTGGGTAGTTTCGTACCACAGAGATCTGCACCTATGCCATCGAGCAGGAGATCCCTCCCTACACACTCATTCAGCAAGCCAAGGTGTCCATACCTTTAGTACCGAGATTGCAAAAACAGACGTGAGGGGATGAAAATCATGAAATCGTTAAACATAACGACTTGTCAATGTTGTCATCCTTTTTTTTTTTCCTCTTTTTTTTGGAAACCAGCGTCCTTGCTAGGAGAGCATGTGAAAGCACACCCCCCTAGCAAGAGACCTGGGTGCTTGGGCACAACTGAAAACAGAAACATTACCATCTGGCCTAGCTCAGTCGGTAGTACACCCCTGAACTGAACTGAACTGAACGGTTGAGAAACGGACAAGAGTTCAAACTCCACTGGAAGCAGATGAGTAAAATACCACAATTCTGAATTACCTTGGACTGGTCGGTTCGACCATGATATCTCAAGGCCGTCGCCCTTTTAAAGAGAGTGAAAAAAACTGAAACGTTACCTCAGAAGTGTATGACCATGACTATCAAATTATGATAACCAGGATAGGTAATGATTCGTGCAGAGTTTATGGAAACTTGATTATGCAATGCTGCCAATCCCCACAATAATAAGCAACATTCCTAAGCACACACCAGCAGGCAGAAGCACCATTGGAACGCTACTCCACAAACCATTACGTGTCAATCGCAAACTTAAAATAATAATTGTGTAGGTCGAGCGATTGCTGACCAACCCGAAGGACACGCTGGGGGAAGAGGGTGACGAGGTGAATACAAAAAATGGAGAGTCTTCTCCCAAACACAGGCTGGAATCAACCACTCCATAAAAGTGAAAGTGGTTCTGGCGAAGGTGAGAACTATCGCATGCTGACTCACCGGACATCACCTACGTCGTCACACAGGCGCAAACCGCATGATGGCACTGGAGCAGGAAGCAGTTGTGCAGTGGGCAGCCACCACTGCTGCTGCAATTGGTCCTGACTCCTGATCAGCTAACTCAAACATCGCATAATTCGCATTTATAATTTTGTAGACTGTCATCCGACAGTAAAGTATGCAGATCCTGACCCTCGCTGGGAGTTGAGGTTGGAGTCCTCTACGACAGTTCTTTCTCCAGGCCGAACCTGAGATGGCTTCGGTTTCAACTGCTCCCCGTCGGGGGGCTGCAGTGTAACACCCCGTCCTGGACCCTCTTGCCACTCAGGTTCTTCTCTGCTTGGATGATTGTTTTTGTGGTTCACAATCCAGTTGTGAGAATAGAACACAGGTGAAAAGACTCATGGTGTAGGCCCTCACAAGTGGTTAACAGGGACCCCCAATTTTCAGCCCCAGGTTAAGACCCCCCCAGCGCTGAATGCATGGCCGTATTTTTTGTCTTTTACGCAGGTGGTGAGTAGTGGAGCGAGGTCCGTAGGTTGATTTGAATATCATGTTTTGGATTATTTATATTGGGCCTTGCTCCACTATTCACTACATGCACAAAAGACAAAAAGAATATGGTCGTGTGTATCTGCCCATGTTCTAGGGGAGACTCATTTGGGGATAATTTTTTTCAGCTTTTTAAAGCCTTTTTTTAAGTTTTTTTTTTTTTTTGCCCTGTTTTATTTTTGGTCAAGGTCTGTACGTGGCACGTTACACATAAACAAAAACCAACAGTGCTGTCAGTGTCAACGTATCCTGCGTAAATACAAGGAGGATGTATATAGCCAATACGGGGCCTTTGCAGTACAGGGTTGCATTCTTTTCCCGAATCAGTGCGTGAAAAGGAAATCCGAAGAAAAGGGTTGGCGGTTAAACATTAAAAAAAAAAAAGAGAAAAATAAAGCAATCCATTTGTGAATTATAAGAGGGGCACCAGTCAAGGTAACTCCGTTGCGAGTTCGAAAACAAAAGAAAAAAATATAAAAGACTCACGATCCAACACCATAATGAGCCTAGCTCAGTTGGTACGCCCATGAACTGTTGAAATACAGACCCCAAGTTCGAATCCAGACTCTATCAGATGAACAGAATAAAAGCATTCTGAATTACCTGGGCCCAGTCAGCTCAATGATGATATCTCAAGGCCGTCCATCATCCTTTGAAACATTAAAAAAAAAAAGTGAAAAAAAAAAAACAATACCATAATAAGAAACTACCTTCATGATTCAACCAAGTTCCAGAAGCTTTATTCTTTTCTTTTTTTTTTTTTTCTTTTTTTCTTTTTTTCTTAAGAAAAACAGAACCTTTAGGTTCTGGCTCCTACCATTCTGGGGAGCGACAGTCCGGTTCCTATTCCCCCGGCAAGTCAATATGGAAAACATGGATGACTTACGCACGCTCCTCCCCATTATGGTTGGGAGGTCCGAGTGGAC